AAACAGCCACCACAAGGAGCATAAACAAAGCCTCATTCCCTGTCTGATCAGCACTGGAAAGAACTCTATCACAGTTTGGAACCAAGTTGACAGGGTACAGAATAAATGGGCTCATACTTAAAACCCTAACCAAGCAAACACACACCCCACCCCCAAAGAAAAAAGCTAAAATAACAACAATCCCTCCCCCCAAAAGCAAAAAAACGCCACCCCAAACCCCTGCTCGCATATATCTTTAACAAGTGACAAAACTCGCCTGTTGTTGGTGCAGTCCAGGAGATAATTCGGGTGGGCCAGTGCGATGGCTACTAACAAAACCTCACTGTCCAGCGGGACAGCGTGGTCCAGGGGAAAGTTGGTGGCTCAATGTAGCGGTTCCAGGTCGAGGAATGCGGTCTGGGTTCACAGCCACCCCTGTTAGCCCTCAGGCACTCTTGCAGGCCTCTGCTGCATCATTCCAGCGACCCCAGATGCTCTTGGTTATGGGACTCGGTAGAGGATACTGGCTGAAATTCCTGCAGCAGCTGATGAGTCCCTGCTGTCATTGCTGGCACTCACAGCCTGCCCAGCTGGGAGGTTCTCATGTTGGCAGGGACACAGCCATTAACAGGTTAGTTACAGAAGAGGAGTTTGAGGGTAAACAAAGTTTAATGGGTCCCAAACCTATGTCAAGCTACCACAACATCTTGGCTCATGTCCTGCAGCGTGAGCTGTGATAAGGGGCGCAGGGCAGGGGCTTCAGCACCTTTCACCCCTCCAGATGTGGCCCACTGTGGCTGGAGGGTGGGTGGGCATACCCTCCTCAGAAGCCTGAAGACACCGGTCAGCCTCTTGATGTTTGCATGAGAGACAGTCTTCCTTATTGCCAGGAAACAACTGCTTTTCCCAGCGCTTGCCTACGTGCCCTCCGTTACCCTGCTCAGCCGTGTCTAGGCAGCCAGCCTCGCTGCCCTGGTGAGGATGCTGGGTTCCCAGGAGCAGTGTGTAGGGCTTGCAAGGGGTTTTTTGGTCCCTGTGGGGAAGGGGTCTGTACTCAGTCCCTTATGACTTCTGACACCACTTCTGCTTGCAGGCCTTTCCCTAGCCATCCCCCGCTGTGATTGCCCCCACCTTCTCCATTTCTTTCCACATGGGAGCACAGTGCGGAGCAGAGACTTTGCAGAGTAAACAAGCAAGCACATAGTGTTTCAAGGCTGCCTGCACCCCTCTCCTGTGCCTAATCCGTGCTGGTGATTGCATTCAGCAGCTGAAAATAAGCTCGTGGAAGGAGGGGAGGTGGTGAAGGGGAGCTGCCAAGCAGGACTATTTATACTGGATGAGTCAGGGCTGCGCTTGAATCCAGCCAGATGCTGGGGAGCTGGAACCCAAGGGCAACCTGCAAAGGACGTAGACGTGGATAAGAGACTCTTGCCTGCAGCAGCTTGTTTACTGTAAGGCTCAGACTTGTCCTGTTTGCTCCCCGTGATGGACTACACCTTTCCCTTCAGCTCTGCCACACAGCGCTTGCTGCAGCTGGACGAGGAGCAGCTTGATCAGTGGAAGTACTCTCGGCGCATAAGGCCCCAGCACCACCACAGTGAACACAGCCGGAGCCCAGTCGGCCAGGGATGCCGGAACAGCCGCTTGGAGCCATTGGAGTGCCGGGACCTGCTGGTCCAGAACGCGCTCTTCACTGGGGACCTGGAGATGGTGCAGAAGTACTTCACCAAGAGCTCAGCCATCAATCTCATCATTGAGACCAAGGGTGATGAGCTGCGCTGGACTAGCAGGAAATTTGGTGGGTGTGCAGGGCTGGGATATAGGGGGATGGGAAGTGCCCGGGATGGGGACCAGATAAAGAGCATAGACACCTGAGAAAAGTGTGGAGAGGAATCCCCAGCGGTAGAGACAGGGTGGTGGAAGAAGGACTTTGGAAGAAAGACTTTTGGATGAGGAAGAATTCTAGGGCTGTAGAGCAAATGGTAGCAGGCTTGTTGAAGGTGGCCCAAGGCGGATCTACTGGGAAATGGTGAGAATAGGGCCCTTGGAAGGGCTGCTGGAACAGAACAGCATCAGCTGTCCTGTTGGAGATCGCTGGGATAGATGTGAAATACGTGCGAGGTGGAAAG